GTCTTAACGAAGTACAAGAAGAACTCCGCGACAATGACGAATGTAATCATTATGGACGGAAGAAGTTCTCGATGATTACTGAAGGCGCCCNCAGGCGAGGGTTTCGTTGTGAGATGTGCAATGCCAGACATCGGAACTTCATCCTTCGATGCAAGAGCTGCCAACTGGATATCTGTGTCGATTGCCGCCGCAATCGCGTTTGACTCTGTTTCACCTGGTGACCCGAAGCGGATTTTTTGCGGTGTCTTTGATATAGTTAGTTACTTCAAGCTTGTTTCTGCCTAAAAAAAATCGACAATGAGCCACGATGACGGTAGCGATTGGAGTATGTACGTAACTATTAACTATGTTAGTTAACTATATGAATTCCTGGGTTAAGCTTACTTTATGAATGTGGCTGACTAATAAACTAACTAGCCTAAATAATGTCAATCCTCGCGTGCCGGGACGCCCGGTGTAACGGGACACTTTTTCTTCCGGACGCCCGGCATGCTCACATGATATATGTAAATTGGCCGGTTCAATGTACACTTGATTTTCGTTGTGAAAGACGTAGATGGGGGCTGAAAGGTCGGACGAATTCTGTTCACACAAGGGCTGACTTTAGTCGAAAATAGGTATTTGCAGAGTTGTTTGTTGTAATGACTATATTAGGAATGGTACGTAATTGCTCAGATCCTTGCACAAGGAACTTGTCTACGTCATCAGACATTCAATGAAAATCCCACTTACTCTAACCGGTTAGCTGCTTCTCCCAACCATGCACACGCTTTCTTGATTGACAGTATCATTAGCCAATAGACATTAACTGTATAAAGAAATACCCCAACATACTCCAACATGCTTTGAACTCATATCATTTTGAGTTTTGTGATTCCTCGTACCGTTTCTTGGCAATTGCACTAGGATGCCAGATGCATGCCATATGACGTATGTGATCGTACGAATGTGCATTGGAGACTTCTGTAAGATAACACAAACTCTCCGCTTCGCTCGGCTACGCAATACACTACCTGCACTTCCCCCTTTCCTCTGTTGCTGTTGTTTATCGAAAGGATTGTCTTGTAAACCCGATAGCTATGGCTTCAATTTCAAGCGCACAGGCTGTTGAAAATATTATTAGTTACAATTTCCAACATGGATATGAGCCGTTGTGTCGAGCACTGACAGCAGCCGGAGTTCAAGAAGAAGATTGGGATGGAAACCGAAAATTGGCGCAGTTTGGCACTGCACTTAGCGAATTCATATTAAGTTACTTAGCCTTTGAAGTAGAGGCCACAAGAGGTAGAACTCTGCGAACATATGCCACGAAACAAGGCTGACCTCTACTTAGCTAACGTCAATGACTTTAAGAAAAGCGTGGCTAACAATGAACACTGTGCGTCTATCGCAAGACGGACAGGCATCAGCGGCTACATTAGGTTCGCCGACAAAGACGGCGCACAGTCACCAAGTGTTCATGCGAAAGCGATTAATGCAATCATAGCGGCTGTCTTTTTTGATTCTGGAAGAGATATTGGTATCGTGGCTAGGACGATGCTTCATCTTGGGTCAGTTAGACCAGCCCTCCTTACTACAGCGCGCTAACATTGCATACTATCTAGTCTATTTAATACTGCTAGCCAAACTGTAGATCCTTCTTTACTTTCTCTGAATGAACTTCCGGAATCGGTCGATGTGGGCTCCCTTGCGCGATCGCTGTTCAATGTCGATGCTGGTAACTATTCGTCATTGTTTGCGGATAGCAGTGGCCAGGCTCCTTGGACATGCTCTTGGAGAAGACAGCATGGAGTGTCAAATCTTCAGCAACCACCGGCGGAGATAAATGTTTCGATAGAGTTCGGAGATGGTGGGCTGAACGCACCAACTCAGCCAAGCCAATTTTCCCAGACAGACGAAGCCAATATAGAAATACCAATCGATGGATCCCCCGGTGAAAGCTCACAGATTGTAAATTCTTCATTAATCTATGGAGAGGAAACTTCGAGGCGCGACAACGTCAGTGCTACATGTGATTCTCGAAAAACTACAAAAAAACGAACCAACGTACACCAGGCTGAGCTTCGACGGAGAAGGAAGCTCCAAAGACCCAATGCTGATCCAAACATCCACAGATTTGGGACATATGCCCGTGAAGAAGAACGAGCAAGTCAATCTCTTAGGCCGATAACCCCGCAAGACGTCTTTCTTACGCCTGTTATACAGCAAGAGATCCAGCGGTTGTGCAAAGGCAAGATAGAATTGTTCGAAAAGATCCTGACAAATATTGGAAGTCCCTGTTTGATAGGCGGACTACAAGACATCCTCAGATTGTGGAGGGCACAGGAAAGCCGTCTTCCCTTTGAAACAACAATGACAGTCTCGAGAGCGGAAAGAGTTCGTCTGATTGATAATCTAGATCATACCACTTCTTACTTTAAACTGCTTCAAAGACACCACATTGTTGAGCTATTTGAGGACTGCAGCGGCCCTGGAATATCTACTCTTGGGGTGCTGTTGACTTCCTCTGATTTCTCAAGTTCGCTGGGTAGACCCGGAAACCCAGTCAATAAATCTGTCGCCGACTTGACAGCAAGGATGATGCAAGAAATGTATCCAAGTGTTAAATGCAATACGAGTGACTACGAAGCAAAGTATCGGCGGATATCATACCTGCGACGACTTGGCCAACGCTTACATCTTCTGGAAACTAAATTCGGTAAAGGCGTCCTGGGTATCATGCTAGATCGAGGCTTCAGTGCGACTGACGTTGGCATCACCGATGCGATGTGAGTAAAGTGGTAATTAGCATCGAGATAGTAGTGACTAATGTGCAGGATAATGACCCCCACCGATGCTGAGTATGCTGCGTTTGTCGAAATACTGGACAAGTATCAGGGCGCATTGCTTCGCAGTCTTAGTATGGCTGTTTCGCCTGTTGTGCAAGCTCTTACTGCTGGAGATATCAGCGAGCAGAGAACTTTCGCCATTGAGAATATGACGGCAGATGACATCACAAACTATCAGAAAGGGTCCCCAGCATTCTTGCAGCTCATATGTAGGCAAATCTAAACCGGGAAACCAGACCGTTCGCGCATCTTTAATTGCAAATATATGACACGACATATTGTAGGGCAATATGGGATACCGAGGGAGTTAACCCGAGACACCCGCATCACGTGTTACATCAAGACTTTCTTGTTTAACTAATTAGCTTGTAAGAAATTGATCACAAGCTGGCGCATCATTCGATATGTTACAGTGTTCTTTCGATTCCTGGTGTACTTACTCACTCATCTCCCACAAAGCCTGTCGAACTGCCTTCCGAGTTAGAGTAGTGCTCTACTATTAAAGTTGCCATGGCAAACCACGTTACTACCAAATAAGCCACCCTATCCAAATCGATTTGTGCGGAGGTTGTGTCTTAGTATCAGAACACTACAAATGAAGCAGATAATTGGGAATTTTGGAGCTCGGGCAATGCGATCCACCTGCTTACTTGTCATACAGCTACAACTACATTGGCGACATCGTGATTCAGATACATCCAGATATAGCTAAACTAAAGCCAGCGTATTCGACCAGGCTATTTGATAGTTATGAAAATTTTTGTAATACTGGTAATGACCAGTTTTGGTGGGCTAACCCACTTATGCGGATAAGTATCCCATTTTCTCGGTCGTACAAGAAGCAATTAGAAATATAATGCCAGAATTAAAACTAAATAATTCAAAGAAATCATGTATAGAGATCTGTTGTTGCCAATCGCAAATGCTACTCTCTCTGGCTTGCATAGGTACTCATGCGACGAGTCGTCATCACGTCCACTTTCGAGAATTCACTGCATTTCCTTGTAATTACATACCCTACACGCTCCTCAAGATTTGCAATGTCCTTGGGTATGACAGAAAAATCGATACCGCGTATTCTTAGCAGGTCACGAAATGCAGCGTCGATGCGCATCCACTCCCCTTCGTCCTTTGGCATTAGCCGTACTCCATCATCTTTTAGCCATTGACAGCCCGCTTCACATAATATTACAATGCTCTCTTTCATTCGGTCTTCGAGCTCTCGCCAAGACTCAGAGGCCAGCATTTCCGCTGCCGCATGCTCTCCAACGAGGCATTTCGCATACACAATAGGGTCCAGTCCGGATCGATCGCATATGTACCAAGTAGATGCACCCGCAGGGCATGCCGTAGTTTCAGCATCATACTGAGCAGCGAGAATTCTTTGCTGGAGTTGAAGCGCGCGTATTGGTAGTGTCGCGATGTCCTCGCGCTTGAAATTATACTTCTTCAGAACTTTCCGCGCCACCTCGCGTATGATTAGCGGACGCTGGGTGTTAATCCCATTCCCGCTTTCTCCGAAGCAACCCTCTAGAGCGTTGACTAGGGTGCTCTTGCCTGTAGATTGCGCTCCAATGATGTAGATGTTTTTCATATTGATATAGATGAGTTATGTTGAAGTGAGGAGATGTTTGGTTATACTGCCCGCCCTTACATGAGAATGAGTGTTTACCTTTATTAACATGCATCGATCGTGGCGTTCGCTGCATTGTACCAGATAACTACCTGCCGGGGTTCACCCCGCATTGTTCGCCACGGCGAAACGCCCGATCTATGTATGTAACATCAAAGCCTCAATGACGCGTAATATCATCAATATAAGCTCAACTGGGGCTACGCTTACTATTTCCGAACCTATCTTATCACTACAGCTAGCATTGGCTTGGTACCAACGGCTGGGCATATAACCAATTAGAACCGAGACTTGACACTGGCTTTCAAAACCAAGAAAAGGATTTGTCCTTGACGGGGTCAGGAGGTCCTAAGTTTTTCAATAGTTCAAAAAATAAGTCCTAGCACATGAACAAACTATGGTGCAAGTTCCTAGCTCAGAAATTGCAAAGAGAAGATTGAGACTGACTGATTTGATCGTTTCATACAGCGACGAAAGTGTTACATGTTTGGAGTTCGCATTCATCTATCTCAATCTCTATTTCACTGGTTAGTCAAATGATAAGCTTATTTTTAGATGGTTCAAACAGGTGTTTAATCACAGTATTGGAGAAACGGATCCATCTCTCCTTACCGACCACTAATTCTCGAGGGGCCCAAATCTCATCTCGCAATCAGCTCCATCAGTTATCATGATCAGAAAGAAGAATCTGAAAATCAGTTGACTTTGTGCAACTCGTACTTTATGGTCTCTTGATATCTGCCCTTCCAAGTCTTCTCTAACGACCCAATGAAATGGCATCTTAAGCTTATGATCAGAAGCCATCCTATACATATGACTGAGCATTATTTCTTCCCGCTATTGCAATAATATCTGGGGACCTGATTCAGGGATTTCACTATCAGCTGAGTCTGTGAAACTATAAGCAAAGGAAGCTGAGAAAAAACTTTAAAAGAGGGGCAATGAATTTGTGAAGCAAGGTTTACAATAGCTCGTGACGGTTTGGTGGGATACGTCATCGGCCTTTTGGCCGTCTGACACGGGATGCAAAACTCAAGAATCGTATCCGCCGCGATCCGTATATTCCTCCCATTTCCCTCTTTCCTATCAACCAATCTTGGAAAATTCACAAAGATGAGCGAATTCAGATCGTTCGTCAAAACCCTGCAGCACCGTGTGTCTCCAGAAGACGTCAAATGGGAGTATTCGGTACCAGATATTCCCGTATCTCATCTGACCAATAAGGCGGGGCTCATCAAATGTGTATCGATGATCTCCTCAATCTACCAGCAACAGATCACCCTCCGTTTTGCAGCTGCACCCTCAAACCGAGTCATCAGAAACGACGTTCTCGACAGGTTCATTCTCCTCTCTTTCGCAGATTTTAAGCTACAATGGCCTGCTCTTATTGCAAGTGAGGCTTCGACACCGGCCACAGGTCGGGAGAATGGGGACTGGATCACCAGAATGCTTGTTTCAGGCCTCACCATCAATGGCGTTACCTACAACTTCTTCGGCCATTCTAACAGCCAGCTCAAATCAAGATCTTGTTTTTTATACGCAGCATCGAAAGAGGAGATATCTATCAAAGTCGAGGCAATGGGAGATTTCTCAAAACTGAAATCTGTTGGCAAGAAAGCGAAGCGCATTGGGCTCCTCTTCTCTAGCGCGGACATAGCACTTGATCTGCCACCCGATCGTTGTCAAGACATTGATGATGTCGCGACCAAGCAGTACATCTTTACCGATGGTTGCGGCCTCATCTCTATTCAGCTAGCACAGCACCTGGCGCAAAAGCGAAACATTGTTTTTCGGAATCGAAGGTACCTCCCTTCGGTTTATCAGATCCGATATCGGGGTTACAAAGGCGTCTTGACACTGGACCCGACGTTGCGTGGGCAGATCCAGGTCCAGTTCCGAGCATCAATGCGGAAATTCAAAGATTCGCCAGACTACAGTCTCGCTGTGGTGGATTATTCCAAAGTACCGTATTCAAATTTATTTCATGAATGGTAGGCTAATATTGGACAGCCTTACGCCTTTGGTAGTCTTAACGATGAGATCGTTGTTCTCTTACATACACTTGGGATCTCTCAGGAAACGCTCCTTGCCAAGCAGACACGGCACCTCACCTTTCTCCAAGACGCTCAAAAAGGTAATTTTCAGGCTGCCTTTGCATTTCTATGCTACATCGACCGGACAGATGTGGCAGAACAGCTGCTATTGGATGGTCTAGACTCAGTGCACGTCACACTCAAGAGTTTAGTAAAGCAAGAATACGATCGAATGGTCAACAAGCGCAACGAACAGAGATGTCGAATTTCAATTCCCAAGTCTCGTTTACTCTTTGGTGTTTGTGATCCAACCGCAAAAGATGGCTTCACGGGTCGACTTAAAGAAGGCGAGTGTTTCATCCGCATCACAAAGGATGGCGACGGCAGGCCACACACTATCATCAACACCGAAGTCTTAGTTACGAGAAACCCGTGTCTGCATCCAGGTGATCTTCAGAAGTTCAGGGCTGTTGATGTTCCCGAGTTTTCGCATCTGGTGGATTGCATTGTGTTTACAACACAAGGGAAACGACCAAGCGCCGATCTAATGTCTGGAGGCGATTTGGACGGAGACAAATGTAAGTTCGATGCTCACTATCTGCAACTACTATCATCCTAGACTCATACATAACAGTTTTTGTCTCATGGGATAGCGATATAATTCCTCGTACAATAGCTGAGCCCGCCCAATACCCTGGTGGCAAAGAGCTCATCACACACACCAACTTTTAAGCAGAAATTTTTCATCGAAACTCGTCAATTTTCTATCGGATATAGGGGTAACACGTCGCGAGAAATCGATTTACGCCAACTCTAACGTGTGC